AAAAAAGTGAACTGGTTGGTTCCTACAATTGTTGCCTTTGGAATAGCTGAAGAGGTGCTCAAAGGTCGACGGAACGGCTTTGAACACTTTTTGGTGACGTTTGGAAGTCTAAAGAAAATCATCAACTTATTTATTTAATCACTTTCACCAGAGTGTGGTGAGGGTCGCACAACAGAGCGAGGCTCCAAATTAAGTGCGCCCTATATCCCACCCATCCCACCCCAGGGGAGGACATCCATCACACAGTAATCTCGTGTGTGGGAAATTAACGTCTCCTACCCCAACCCTGCAGGAGACGGGACCTCCATTTATTCGTCCCTATCCGAGAAGACTAGAATATCTAACCATTTCTTGATGTTATAGAAAGGTAGCAATATTTGTCTTTAACTGACAAATATAAAGCCATTGGCAAGCTGGTAGTCCCAGATAATTATCAGCTATTTATACAGCTTAAGATAAAGAGAATTCTTGTTTCCTGTTCACCGTTCTCATAAATAGAACTAGGATCCGTAAGTGAGATCAAAGTGTCATTATAGGGAGACTTGCTCATTGCACATGTGACACTTAAGGTACTTAGAGAACAATTTTATAAAGAAAGAAGGAACGAAGAAACAAACAAGCAACAAACAAACAAAACCAGCCAAAGAAGAATTACTTGTTGGACCTTAGTTTAGTATCAGCCGCCAAAGTAGCTCTGTCTATGTTTGGTGAGTCCTTAACATTTTCGTTAAGTCAATAAGTGATTCTCTTCTTTCTCTACCAAACAGTAAATTCTTGAAGATCACTGAACTTTAACGAGTTCCCGACAAGATGGCAACTGCTTCACATTCGCCATTGACAAGCTCTGTGGAGAAAGTAAATGGAGCCAAGCTCAGCAGACTTCTCATTGATGGTGGAACAACAGCACTAAGGACCATTTTTGATGGCTATCACCCTCCTGCGAATCTTTCTGCTGGTCTTAATGCCTACTACTCCACCCTGGTCCATCTCTTTAGGAAGATGGTCCTACGTTCAGCTCAGTGGGAAAAACTGTTCCCTACATGCGGAGCAGCACCAGACTCTAACACGTTTGATATTACTCTTCTATTTCTTCTTCTCACCAACATTTGCGGACTTTACTCCCCTCTCTCGGGGTGGCATGTAAAGCCCCCTCCAAGTGACAATTCTTTCGAGGCAAACCTTGCTCGGGTGAAGTTCTTCCGCAACGAGTTGTATGGTCACTTGGCTACTACTGCTATTGACACGCCCGCTTTCTCTAGTTTATGGCAGGATATAAGTGCTGTCCTTGTTCCTCTTGGCTTGGATAACGTAGCCATAGAGAGATTGAAGCTAGAGCACTCTGGAGAGGAAGACTATATCGAAATACTAAACGAATGGGCGAAAAGTGAAGAGGACATCAAGTCGCAGCTGATAGACATTCAGCAATCTCAAACACAAACAGCACAAAATATCGCCGAATTGCGTCAGGGGTTCGATGAAATGAAAAACACCTTTATCAAATCTTGCGAGACCAACGAGAGCGTGGAAAATCGTAGAAGAAGGGACGAAGAAGATAAAATTCTTAAAGCACTCGCAATGATTAACACAGTAAAAGATGTTGAACACCATTCAGGAAGATATCAGGAGGGAACTCGTTTGTCAATTTTGACGAAGGTGGAGAATTGGATGGATGACAGAAGCTCTGAGAATCGTGTCTTGGTGATTAGTGGAAAGGCTGGCATGGGAAAATCTGTGATCTCTGCAGTTGTCTGCAAAAGAATGCTACAAGCTAACAGACTATCTGGAAGCCATTTTTGTCAACATGGCAAGGCACGCCATAGGAATCCCAAGGTTATGCTTCAGTCTTTAGCTTGTCAGCTGTCTAACATTATTCCAGAATTCAGGATTGCCATCGTGGAAATTCTGTCAAGAAATCTAGGAGGAGATCTCAACAGCATGGAAGTTAGTGATCTCTTTGAATTGCTGCTCGCGGAACCTCTTTCCAGAGTCAAAGACCCAGGAAGGAACATCCTTATGGTAATAGATGGCTTGGACGAGAGTGAATATCAAGGCCGCAACGAATTGCTTGATGTGATTGCTAATCATTTTTGTAAACTCCCAGCGTGGGTTCGATTTCTTGTGACAACTCGTCCTGAAATCAATATCGCCGATAATCTTAAGGGTTTAGAACCTTTACAGCTTGAACCAAGTGATCATGAGAACTTACAAGACATTCGCCATTATATTAATTGCAAACTGGGGCAGTCTGAAATTCAAGAGGATGTTTTGAATTATCTTGTGGAAAAGTCAGAAGGAGTAATGTTGTTTTCTTACTATTTAGTTGATTTTGTAATCAAAATGGAGGCACCTGTCACTCCAGAGCTGCTAGAGAACGATTTGCCATCTGGTATTTCATCTGTTTACGCGTCCTATTTCAAACGTCTAGAGAATGAACTCGTAAAGGAACTGGAGATTAGAGAGGAGCACTTTTTTGCTTTCCTTAGTGCAGTTACAGCATCGAGAGAACCATTACCAGTTGCTTTTGTTGCAAAATTGTTCCTGTTGGACACTAGTACAGCTGTTAGTAAACGTAAATTTATGAGGGCAATTTCTTGCATTTCAACTCTTCTGACAGTTGAAGATTACCGGGTCAAGTTCTTCCACAAGTCGGCCAAAGACTGGTTGACCGATACTTCTTCGTATGGACAGCACGACTTTACCTTAGATATGAGTGAAGGTCATAGTATTCTTTCTAAACTTTGCTCTGAGGAACTTGATCGTCTTAAGCATCGCGGTGTTTTTGAACAAAACTTCAGTGACACTGAAACCTATTCCCTACAACATGGTGTCACACACATGCTTGAGGATGTAAGGTCAGAGGATAGTAAGGCATTAGTGGAGATGTTTGTCTTAGACTTGGAGCTCGTTTGCGCTAAACTCTGCGTGGATCACGCAGCGGCAGCTGAAGACATTGTATGTAGTCAAAAACAGGCCATTTTATCAGTGCTACCTGAAGAAATTAAAACTCAGTTGGATAACTTATTGCTTTTGTTAAGAAAATACCACGAAAGTTTGAAACATCTTCCTTATTTAGTCCTGCAAACCGTTTTGAATGAGGGAGAACCGCAACTGTCTTCCCAGGCATCATATCTTCTAAGCACGAAATACCCGATCATTACCTTCATGGAATACCTTCACAAGGATGTTCATGAGGAGGCTCCCAAAGCCGCCTTTCGATGCTCAGCTGAAGTGGTCTGTTTCGATGTCTCGCCGCAGTCTGAGTACATGGTGTGTGAATGTAAAGATGAGATGCTTTACCTGTGGTCGCTTCGCAGTGGCAAATTAGAATGGAAACGCCCCAGTAAAGTAAAGAAACAATATTCACCTGGCGACTTCACGTATCGAACGTCGCCTTCCTCTGATGTCTTTTCATGCTACCGTTCAGTTGTTTTTCATCCTTTTAAGGAAGTTGTCCTACCAGGAACGCTTAGGTCAGCCTATTCGTATGACGGGGATCTTAAACCACTTTTTCCAGAAAGTAATTGCATATTCACTGTTTGTTCACTGTTAAATACAAACGGCGAGGTTGCGATTGTAACAGATTGTCCAGATGATGCTAAATGTATTATTTTGTGGAGTCTTGAAAATGGTTCTCAGGTTGCTAATATTCGCAGGGATGAAGATGTTTTTTCGTTCGCTTGTTCTCTTGATGGTAGGATGCTGGCAGTTTCCCATTCTTCCGGCTCGATTTGTTTGATTGACACAGTAAACAAGTTTAGAATACTAGCAGAAAATACCATTCCAAGCGTTTGTGGAATGATTCAGTTCTCCCATGACAATCAGTTTCTCCTCTGTTGGCACGAAAGCAATACACCACCTCATAACGTTTATAAGCTGAAAATCAAACGAATCAACCCAGACACATTTTCGCTTGCTGGTCGTGCGTCTTGTTAGGTTTCATATAAACCTTGGGAGTATGAAACTGCCTGTACAATCGGATTTCTGTTAGGAGATCCTTTCTCTTGTATCTTTGAGACCATATCTGGTCACCCAGTCTTTGTAGAGGGGGCATTTGTCTTTGTCCTTTCTGAGGAAACTGTCTTGAGGCTTTATCCTAAAAGTCGCTCAGTGGCAATGTTCAGAGTGAACGAGATAGGTAGCTTCACCAACTCAGCATACCACCCACACTATTCAACAGCCACGAAGATAGCATTTTCGTTAAATGGAGAGATTCTCTACGTCATTTCCAAAGTTCCCGACGGAACGGAAATCATGGCCTGGAACGTTCCATCGAGAAACCTCAAAGCAAGAAGGAAGATTGGACTTACGAGGAGGGAGTGCCTTACGCCTGTAGCGGAAGGTGTTATTATTGCCAAAGACTCTGGCCGTCCCGAACTGTGGGATTTTGATTTGTCGTATTCTATACGTTCTTGGTCACAGGTGTGTAACATTACCGATGTGATTCTGCTGTCAAGAAATCATGTGGCATGTGTAGGGTCTAGAGATAAAGAGGTGATTATCCTAGATTCAAGAAGTACAGCCATAAAGGAACGTATCCCGTTTTGTCGTGACGAATATGAATCAACCATTGAAAGTTTGGGGATAGAAGCCATTGCATGTAACAGCAAATATGAAGTGCTATCCACGGACCGACGATCCATTCAGCTGTCGAATGGTCAAGGCATTATCTGGAAAAAGGAATGGCACGATTCTCTACTGCATAGTTACAGTCTCCCAGGGATGTTCTCACCAAAAGAAGAATTTGTCTTGCTCTCGGCGAAACGCAGTGATTGTGATGATCAGGAGGTATTTGTTCTCGATGCCTCTTCTGGGGAACATCGCTCCATTCTCTGTAGAGGTGCTTTGTTATTTGACTGTAAGTTCGTCAGTGATGAGGAATGTGTCATTGATTGCCGGGATACCTCACTGGATTATGGTCTTCGTCTGTTCAATATGAGGACCCGTGACCTGCTCTGTGTTCTGACAAGGGTGTTCAGAACGTTTTGCGTGGTAACCTGTCTGCCGAACCATGCGATTGCGATTGACGTACCCGCTGCAATTAGTACAGAGAAAAATTTCAGAATCATCCAGGTAAACAACCTGCAAAGTGAAGAAAAGACGAAGGAGAAAATGTAAGTTTGGTAATGAAGATAATTGATTATTTTCCTGCCAATGAAAGTTGGTAGTTACTTGCAGTCGTTGATCTCCCACATCTTCCCTTAAAAGCGTATATTAGTTAACCAAATACCCACGTAATGAAACGCTCAAGACTTTTTTTCTCTACAACTCAAATGGGCGAACCCCGAGTAGGGAACCTAAGGATAGAGCCTGCTTTCGTATTTGCACGCGCAGTGATCGTGAAAGCATTATGATGCGTTGGCAGTGAGGGTGACGTAATTGAAAAGAAATCTATTTATCTGCTGCAATTGATATATTTAATATATTTTTTTGCAGGCTGAAAAAGAAACAGCAGTGAAAATGAGAGGTCAGTGATAAGAGAGGGGACTCGAAACAAACTGTGTGTCAGATTTTCGACATTTCTTACTGTGATTTAACATTCTGTAAGAGAAACAGAACTTAGGAAATGGGTGTTTCTCGAAATGATATAGGCTACCCTTTGAAGACAATGCTAAGAGTGTTAAGCGTTCGCTCTTAGAGTCAATTTTATCATGACATCGTCGCATGCACTTAAGTCTGGTTTTTCTATCCATACTTTGAATTCACGGAAAGCATGGCGAGGGTGCTTGCATATTCTCACATACTGAACTACCCGAGTGGCAAAAGTACTTGGCACGCCTCTCCCTGGCAGGAAATCGAAAACCTTCGACTCAACACAATAAACAGAAATCTTTTAATTCACCTCTTATAAGTTACTCATAAGTCTCCCTATTCCCCCAAAACAGTGTTGAAAGAAATTAGTGAACATTTTGTTAACACCGCGCAACATTGAGATGTGTGTGTGTGTGTGTGTGTGGGGGGGGGAGAGATTGAAGCTGTAGAAGAACCTAATAAAGTAGGAGAGTGTGCCAAGACTTTGGCATTGATTTTGGTTTGACTCATCCCTTTTATTCAGGGGATAACGCAACAGACGTGACGTAATTTTATATGCATTTTTTACATTTCATTCTTCTAGGATGATTCAGTTGACTCACTTGTTTCTTATTCTGTGCGTGGTTTTGTTATTCAGCGAAGTGATGAACAAATTTCAGACTCTGCCATAGGAACCCTCCAGGCAGTCGGTACTGCTTCGTCAGTGTTATAAACGAGAGACAACAGCACAGTGAACTAGAAGTCATGCGGAGAGAAAAGCTACTTCTTGCTGTCACAGACGCGCACAGTACCAATGAATTTACGTACAACTCTGCCAAGCACTAGGAGGGCAAATGGACGAGTCAATCGTGTTCTGTAGTTATTTTTTATGCCTATAGTTGTTGTTTTTACTTACATTCCAAGGCATTTTGTCCAAGGTTGTTTTGTATCTGGAAGCTTTTCCAACATCGCTGTCAAAGTGAAATTAAGTGGTCCAACCGAAAATTAGTCATGCAAGAAAGAAATTTTAGTATAACTGGTCATTGACCAGTTTTCTTGATTATCTCGTTCCCGATGCCGCAGACATGTGGTGTTGTGCACCGGAGTTCGTCAGTATAACCACAGTGATGAACTTTAGAAAAGTAGCAGCATCAAAATCTTTATGCACTTAAGCTAGCAGTCTTTGTACAGCACAGGCGGTAAAAACTATAGAACGGATACATGAAGGTTCGATAGAAGGATAGAAAGATACTTTATTAACGTGTCAAAGAACTTTCTAGTTTGGGAGATATCCCATACTAATGTGGGGACTCAAATAAAATGGATTAAAATTATTTACAAAGAATATTACCTACTTAAGAATAAAATTAAGTCATATCATGTATGAAAAAATATGAAATGAATTAAGAAGTACATAGAGCACAGCCCCTGCAGTCATCATCTAATAGGGAGCTGAGGTCACGCTTACGTATGCGGTTTTTGAAACGAGCTAATGTTGTGGCTAATCTGTCATAAGTTGTCAGTTTACTCCTTAATTCAGGTCCTAATTAGCGTATTGAATGTTTGCCGTAAGTTATTGTGTTGTATCTAGGAATAGAAAAGTCGGCCTGTCTTAAATTATAAGAAGCGATGTGTTTCTGAAATATATTACAAATATCAGTCAAGGGGCTTAGGTTGTGTTTAACTATGTACATTAAAATGCATATATCCTGTAAGCGTCTGTTTACTAGCGAAGGTAAATTAGCTTTCTTCAGTAAGCGTTCCTAGTGGAGTGTATATCTTTGAATACAGCCCTTCGGCTTTCTTGAACTCTCTCCAATCTGCGACTATCACTAGATTTATAAAAATGCCATGTGAGATGGCAGTAGATTAGATATGGTAGGAAAACCGAAAGGCTACGAATAAACGAATAGGGCGAAACTAGAAAAGATAAAAATGAGAAATATTACAAGCGTAACTTACATCGGATCTTGACTCCGTGGTAGAGAACTCCTAAACTCCGTTAGGCTCCAAAATGGTTTCGCTACAATGACTCCTCACAACTGAACTACGTGCTAATAGAAGGCGAATTTAGTTCTTACACTTTGACGTAGGAGAAATAGAAATGAAAAATGCTTTGTGTAGCTAACTACGAGCGGATATTCGCTAGTCACGGAATAGAAATAAAACAAAGCACGCTAACAAGTTTAATAGACAGTCATTGAAAGTTTCTTAGTGTCTTTGTGCTAAAAAACGGAAGAGTTTCATAAGTAAAAAGATTAGAGTACGTATCCGTAAACGTGACATTGATTGTAAAGTAAATTCAGTTTTGAGCATAAATTCGACATTTTTCTGGTTAGAGCTCAATGAAAACTATTTAGGCCAGCAGGTTATAATTTATTTAGGAAAACCCCCAGTTTAAGAAGTGAACCCTTGTTGCACTTCGTTATCGGTAATCGCGTGTTTCTTGTTATATTCGTGTCGTTTAAAATCTTTTTTTTTTTAGCTTGAATCCTTTTGAAATTGGTTATGCTTTAATTTAACGCAAAAAATGTCATCAGAGAAACAGCTTCCATCATATCTCCATAGCTTTATTTTATTTAAAACTATGAGAACGTTTGCCGGTATGAATTGTCGATGAGTTTACGAAGACTTCCAAATAGTTAGTGTCCATTATTTCTGTTCATTTGTAATTTAAAGCCAGATAAATTTTGACACCAGTCCCTATATTAATTTCGCCGTGCTACGAAACGGCTCAGTGTTACTGATATTGATTTTGCGTAAATATGGTTTTCAATTTTTGCTTAATTAGCTGTTCGACCTCAGATCTAAATGAAGGTATGTTGTCGGAGCTATTTTACCATTTTTTTTCGAATAAACTCGGCTATTCTTTAATTTGAGCCCCGTCTTGCCGACACTGACCCTGCCATTCGAAGGGATAGAATAACGTCTATAAAAAAAAAATTAAGTCGATTAAGCCGATCAAGGGATTCCCTTTTATAAAAAGAGGTTTCATTTGGTATGCGATTTGGTCAGTGTGTTCACCAATCCACAGTCCAGTGCTCCAGTTTGACTATTCCAGTTGTAACTTTAAGTTCAGTGTTTGAACTATTCGCTGGGGCTTCTGGGGCAGGCTGAGTTAGACTCACCCTTAGTGTTTTACGCGCGTAACATTGCTTAATATACTGTTGCAATACTGGACAGAAAAAAAACTGGCGAGCAGAAGTTATTCGACGAAAAGGTTTGTATCTGTTCTTTGATTCCAAACAAACTACTCAATGTATTTGTTGTTTCGGGGATCCTTCAACCTCTCCGGTTTCGACGTGCCGTCGATTTTGCGCCGAATGGAATTGTAAATTTGTTAACGCCTGCCTATAAGTGCTAAAAAATTGGTGAGTCTTCCTTTTCATTCATTTCTCGTTTCTAAGCGTTGTATCTGCCTTTACAACGGAAGGTGGGAATCATTTTAGTTGCCGCGCATTTTTGACGCAAACAATGTCCTCAAACTGAGTAATATGAGCAAGTAACTTACTAATCATTTTAGAAATCTTGGCGTAGTGCGTTTAAAAATCCAATCACATTTGTAAACCTTGGTATGGAGCATCTTTTTGTTGGCAGTCTAAATATAGTGTTGTCATACAAGCGCAATGCACAGAAGAAGGTTTAACTGAGTTTGCGAACGATTATTTTGTGCCGGATAGTTTTTATGGAACGTCAACATAAGAAATTCCGCATACCAACTAATTATTGATGCAGGAAGGGATCAAACACTGCTCCCGTTGTTAATGAAAAATGCATCGTTGTTAATGAAAAGTGGTCTCATTTTCCGTTGCTGAGGGCATCACTAGTTGGATAAATGTGATGTTTCCTTTTGATTTCTCCGTAACAACTGTTGTTTGGTCTCGTCACGCAACGCGCTTTCTCCCCCATCGTTAAGGGAGACAATGCGTTGCGACTCGAGATTAAACAACTGCCGCGGAGGAGACTATGAAAATGGTAAATTATAAAATTTATTGAAAGGTATTTTTGAATGTATCAGCTAATTTACAGTGAGGATGATTATGACTGAGCTCATAGTTCAGATATTGAAATCAGATGAATCTTTAACAAAATTAATGGTTAACACCACAGCGTACATTATTGTGTTCTGGATGATCGCGGGATGTTGTTAAGAATGGAAGAAGCGTAAGAGTCACACTAACTAACTGAGTGCTTAGCAAATCCCCCGAGTGCATCCATAACTCAATAGTGTACGCTGCAGTGTTTACCATTTGTGTTATAACATAACATTGATCTAATATGTAGCAAAAGAGTTCACAACAAATCTTGCGTGACCAGAAAAAACAAAGCCTTCTGGATATTGTTTACAGCATCTTTTTACTAGGCCATAAGAAATTTCAATGTTGCTTGCCTCTCATTCATTTGCATTCAGTCTGTTATTGCTGGTACACTCCATTTTTGGCTTCGGATGACCAAATGGCAGAAAAAGATTAGTGATATACTGCATCTTTCCTGTTCAAAACTTTTGATCTGATGAATTATATCAGTAGCCCACTAGCCACATACTAGTACAAATTCAGTTTTGGCATGTGGTTTTTTGATTTCCACTGGCCTGTTTGGCTAGTACACAAACGAAAATTGTCGTAACATCTAAGATGTCCCTAGCCACTTGGCTAGTACGTAAAGTTAGTGTCGACCCTTGCACATACTCCTTGGGACTTGTCAAACTGTCATAGAATTTGAAATGATAGAGGGCTAGTCTTTGGCAGGCTTTATAGAGGCGGTGTCATTAATAATATTGCTGAACAAAAGTGATTTAAACCTTGACAGTGTAAATTCACACAGAATGTATACAACTGTGATAACTGTTATTGTAATCAAATTAGTTACCCTTAGAGCCAGTCCCTGAAGATTGATCCTTTTTGGGCAAGGAAGCCCTATGGTTGGCTTATTTGCCAGGCCTCAATGCATAGACATGCCTTCAGCCCCTTAATCTTTAAGAATGACTAGTGTCTAATTTCTCCTTCCATTATATTAGTGCTGAAACAAATGTTAAGGCATTGAGAATAAAGGCTATTATCCCCAATGAGCAAAGCTCTTGATCAGTTAACAAATTCACCTTGTCTTTCCCATAGGAAATGTAGGAAGAAGAGTGCAGAGAATATGCCTGAGATTTTGTGGAATCAAACACTGAGGTCATCAGGATAAAGGTAGTAAAAAAAGCTTTTGATTGTTCAACAAAATTTTCCTTGTCATTCCCATAGGAAATGTGTAAAAAACAGTATGGAGAATATGCATAAAGATCTTCTGAGTTAAATTGTTGAGGGAAAATCCTATCAAGAATCCCCATTGGTAAAGGAGAGTTAGTGGTAACCAACATACATCAGAGGCCTAGCTAGGGAGGGATCCATGGGTGCCTGTGACCCTCCCCCCCCTTTGTAAAAGCCTTTTTTTAAGCTGACAATTAACCTACAATATTCAGGTGGTGAAAACTGGTGAGTACCCTCTGTTTGACATATTGTGACCCTCCCCCCTTAAAAAAATCCTGACTATGCACTTGTGTGTTGGAGTATGTTCCTCAATGAGGAAGATCTACAAGCTCTGGTACAACTTCATTCAGATTATCTAGAGAGTAGAGAATTTAGTGAAGGAGTACTAGTCTTAAGTTGTAACCTACTCTTCTTAAGAATCAATTTTGAAGCTTTCCCATTTTATTTTATATTTTAAAATAGTATGCTATTGTTAATTCAATAGAATGTACTGCGTTAAGGAAGGGGCTGGTTGGTAAGATGCCCCCAGTCTCCACCCTTAGTGGTTCCCATAGGGTTAAGTGAAAATGCTAATAATTATAGGAAGAACTTTAACTAGAATCTTGTTAAAACTCTAGACCTGAACAGATTGCAGAGAGCTCAGTGAAACTCTGATACTGCTTCTTTTGTTTTTGATCACGCATTAATACAGGTGCACCTTTTTCCTTAATGATTTCTCCCTTGTAAGCCCATTGGCTTTTTCATTGGCTCAAAAATGTTTCAAAAATGTTATTTATTTATCTGTTATTTGTCAGTTAATTCCCAATTGATTGTAAATTCATTTTGAATTATCAATAAAACCTCAAAGAGGTTAAGTTTTCCTGTCCCCTTGACCTTTTCATCATTCAGTTTGGCTACACTTCTTCTGCCGTCTTTTAAGGGTAACTTCACCAATTAAGAAAATCATTATGATCATCTTACCAAACAGGCCTTTTCTCTTCTCTTCATGGATGAGTTCTACCAAGTGTAATTGACCAGTGGTTGCTCATGGTCAGCCCTTGTTTTCATGCAGATATGATTCATATGAATCATGTGTCAAATATCAGTCTATTTCACCATTGTACACTGGCTGTACTCCTAGCATGCAAAGAAAAATTGAGCTAAGCAAGGGAATACCACTGATGGGTGAAAGGATGGAGAGTTTTATCAATTTAATGACTTGTTCATTGAACTTCTTTTATTTTTAACTAGTTACAAGGGGATCAAGAAACACCATGCAGCTGACATTTGACACCTTTGGGTTTTTGTTAGAGAGAGGTAAGGTGTCATTCAATTTTAATCAGTTTAATGATTCCATTAATGCCTGTAAACTGTTACGGTAGGATTTAGATTAGCCTCTTGATGTGAGGAAAAACTCGTACTAGGTGAAAATTGAACCCTAAACCCTTTAGATTGAGTGGCTTCTAATTTCGTCTTACAGTATTACCCTTTAGTTAAGATGTAAAGGTCATGTGAATGAATTAAAGTTTCACCGATTTAGGAAACTTCAGTTTGCCAAACAAATTCTCTTTGTCAGTATCAGAAGAAATGTATTGTGCACAGTGTTGCGAATATGAATACCAATGAATGTTCGATCATAAGGGGTTAAAGAGGTGTTTACTGACAATAAGGCATGCGGAAGCTCCTCCGAGGAATGTTGAATATAAATGGCCCTTTGAGTAGGTAAAAGCCTTAACATTAGTTGATTTTGTCTAGAAGCAGTATTAGAGACACTTACCAAAGCAAGTAAAGTAACAACAGAACCAACAAACAGAATGAATCTGTTTGAGGTTCACCTTACTTATAGTCTAATCTGAACACTGATTGTAGAATCCTTGTAGGATGATTTTATACAAAATTATACTGAATGCATATAGGCGTTTTGTGGTTAAACAACTTAACCTAGCTTGGTCACACAGGTGCTGTGGGAGGACCAAACATAGTCCTTCAGTAATAGATGGCGGCAGGTGCACCCTCACCCCTGGCCAGCTCTGTTGAGAAGACGAATGGAGCAAAGCTCAGCAGACTTCTCATCGATGGTGGGACAACAGTTCTGAGGACCATTTTTAATGGCTATCACCCTCTTGCTAATCTTCCTGCTGGTCTCAATGCCAACTACTCCACCTTGAAAACTCTCCTAAGGAAAAAGGTCCTGTGTACAGCTCAGTGGGAAAAACTGTTCCCATCTGGCGGAGTAGCACCAGACTCTAACACTTTTGACATCACTCTCCTATTTCTTCTTCTCACCAACATTTGTGGACTATCCCCTCCTCTCTCGGGTTGGCATTCAAAGCCATCTCCAAGTGACAAATCTCTTGAGGCAAACCTTGCTCGTGTTAAGTTCTTCCGTAATGAGTTGTACGGTCACGTGTCTAGCACTGGCATTGACACACCCACTTTCTCTTTTCTGTGGCACGAACTTAGTGCCGTTTTAGTTGCTCTTGGGCTGGACCAGGTAGAAATCGATCGATTGAACGCAGAAAACAGTGGAGAAGAAGATTATCTTGATCTGTTACTTGAATGGGCTAAAAGTGAAGAGGATATTAAGTCAAAGCTGATGAAAACCTTGCAACAACTCAAACATGCAGCAGAAAGGGTGGAAGACCAGAAAAACAACAGCAGAGTGGAAGAAATTCTTAAGAAACTTGTACAGATCGACACAGAAAAAGATATCGTTTATCATACAGAAAGGTATCAAAAAGGAACTCGTTTAACGATTTTACAGAAAGTAGAGAACTGGCTGGTTGATGAAAGGTCCCAAAATCGTGTGATGGTGATCACTGGAAATGCAGGTATGGGAAAATCCGTTATCTCCGCAGTTTTGTGCAGAAAAATGCAAGAAGCAGGAAGATTATCAGGGTGCCACTTTTGCCAGCATGATAAAGCACGCCATAGGAATCCTAAAATAATGCTTCAGTCTTTAGCTTGCCAATTATCTGATTGTCTGCCTCAGTATAAGAACGTTCTCGTGGAGACTCTTTCAAGAAACCTGGGCGTGGAGCCCAACGATATGGAAGTCAAGGACCTGTTTCAGTTGCTGTTTGAGGAACCTTTCATAAAGTTACAAAAGTTGTCTCCAAGTAGAAATATTGTCATGGTAATAGATGGAGTAGATGAAAGTGAATACCAGGGACGTAGTGAGCTGCTTGACGTTATTTCTAATCACTTCCATAAGCTGCCAAATTGGATTCGATTTCTTGTGACGACTCGGCCAGAAATGAACATCGCAGATAGTCTAAACTTGTTTAACCCTGTTCAACTGGAACAAAACGATGAAGATAACGTAAGGGATATAACACTGTTATTTGAGAGAAAACTAAGTCATGTAATTCAAAAAGACTACCAAGACATCGTCATAGGTGAACTGGTTAGAAAATCCGAAGGTCTCATTTTACATGCTCAGTTGCTAGTAGATTTCCTCAAACAATATGCTTTCCCTCTCGACCTCAGCTTGCTAGACAGCACCTTACCCTCTGGTATTTCGACAGTTTACCACACCTACTTTAAACGTCTAGAGAATGAACTTTGCAACGAACTGAGCATCAAAGAGGAAGGGTTTTTCAGGTTCCTGAGTACCCTTGTGGCTGCGAGAGAGCCTTTATTGCTAGGTTATGTTGCCGAATTGATGTTCTCGGGTACCGTTTCTTTAGCGGATAGCCGAAGATTAAGGAAAGCAATCGTGAGCATATCCGCTTTGCTGCCCATTCGAAATGGCCGCATTCACTTCTTTCACAAGTCAGTTAGAGACTGGTTGACAGACATGACCACCTATGGGAAACACGACTTTTTGGTGGAAGAAAAGGAGGGCCACCGTATTCTTTCTAGACTTTGTGCAGAAGACGTCGACGAGGTTAAGCGTAAAGGTGTTGACGGGCAACTCAGTGATAGGACAACGTACGCCCTTCAACATTGTGTTCAGCACCAGATATCAGCTTTAGAAGTAAATACCATAGCGTCCCACCTTCAGGAAATTGTGCAGAAGTATATTTTAGACTTAGAGCTGGTATATGCAAAACTCTGTGTCAATAATACGACGGCGTCTGAAGATATCATTTATCTTCAGAAGCAAGGATGGCTTGGAAAGTTGGACCCAAAGACGCAGTGCTCCCTCGATACCCTATTATTTTTGTTAAGGAGGGACATTGCAGATTTGACAAAACATCCCCACTTGATCCTGCAAATTGTACTGAATAAAGGAGGTTTTGAGCTCTCTTCTGAAGCGTCAAACCTCTTGGAGACGAAATATTCCGAAATACCACACATGAGATATATACACGAGGAAAGACATCAAGAGGTTGTTCAGGTCCGTTTTCAATGTTCATCTCGAGTAGTTTGTTTCGATGTTTCAACACAGTTGGACTATTTAGTGAGCGAATGTGCCAACGGCACCATTCAGCTTTGGTCACTTCACACTGGTAAGATGCTATGGCAGCGTCCGGCAAGGGTGTTTAAAGATTTCCGGACGTCGAAGTGGAGAAGCTTTCCACTGTCCCACTACCGCTCTGTTGTTTTTCATCCTACAAAGGCATTCGTCTTACCAGGAGTTCTCAGCCATGCCTACACCCTTGATGGAGAGCTGAAACCACTCTTTCCAAAGAGCGGTTGCCGTTTCACGATGTGCTCGCTTTCTGGAGATGGGAGAGAGATGCTGACTGATTGTACTGGTGACGATCATCGTAATTGCATTGTTTTGTGGAGTCTGGACGATGGTTCTGAAATTACTCGCACCACTAGATCCGAAGATGTCTTGTCATTTGCATGGTCTCGAAATGGAAGGCTACTTGCAATCTCCACTGCAAGCGGTTCAATTTGTTTAGTTGATGTAAAAGATGACTTTCGAACTCTAACTGAAACAACCACCTCTGAAGCCTGTGGAATGATAAAGTTCTCTCCCGATCATCAGTATCTATTTTGTGTGCATGTTTCTAAATCTTATTTTACGCGAGAATTTTGTTTCCATGTCGACAAAAAGGAGAATCCCAAGAACTCTTGGGTAGATCTTTCTCCGGAGAAAAGTTTACCTGATGTGGCCAGAAGATGCGATGCACCTAGTATCTGCGGGTTTCTGTTGGGAGATCCATTTTCATGCTTTTCTCCTCAGACGCCTCCGCTAATAGAATTTGTATTAGATGCACACTCTGTAGTTATGAGTAATTTTTCGAAATCGAACGTAATTGAAGTATTGAATGTAAACAAAGAGCGGGAAAACTCCCAGCTTGCATCTAGACGTGTGAATACTTCGTCAACGAGCATTGCAATCTCACTGAACGGTGAGACGGTTTATGTTGTGAATGATGCTGATATGCCAACTATAACGGTGTTCGATGTTTCAAGTGGAAAGCTCAAAGCCAAGAAAAGCTTTGATAAGAAGGGCACCATTTATCTCACACCCGTAAAAGGAGGTATACTGGTTACAGCTCGTGACGACACTCCCAAGCTGTGGAATTGTCAGTTGTCAAAATGCATCCGAGGTTGGTCCAGCTTAGACAAGATAGCAGAGATTCTTACTGTATCAGATGAACACGTAGCGTGTGTCAGAGAAAGAGTTGAAGTCAGTATCATAGATACAGCGAGCGGCAAAATTGTGTCTAAAATTCCTACTGGTTCAAGGGAATGTATCGCATGTAACAGTAAATTCCAGGTGATGTCCTCTGACGGTCGCACTGTTCAGTTGTCTGAAGGTACAGCAGTTCTGTGGGAGAAGGAGCATTTGGACTATTTTTACGGGAGTTTCTCTCCTGACGAACGCTTGGTAATTTTGGAAAACTGGCCGTTCATTACTAATGTACTTGTACTTAGTGCATATACAGGAAACGCAGTGTGTTCCATTAACTTCGACGCGATTCCTTTTGGGTGTGAGTTTATTAGTGAAGAGGAAATGGTTGTTACCTCAACTGTCGGTACAGGTTATGGTTTACAACTCTTTCACGTTAAGACTGGAGATTTGCTTAGCGTTCTACACCTGGAGAGCAAGCCTTCCTGTTTAGCTACTCGTCCTCATAAGCGACTCGTCGCTGTTGGTTTGGAAAAATCCGACCCATGCTTCAAACTTGTGCAGGTAAAGCTGCCTCGTGACAGAGACGATATGAAAAACAGTAGGTGAGCTAGCGAAGCTTTGTTGTTTTAGCTAACTAGCCTCTTGATAGTGGCTCTAAGGTAGTTATTAACTTGATCTCATCTTGCTACGTAATTCAGGTCAGTAAAAAGTAGTAAAGTCTGTGTGCGCGCTAAGTGGTTTATCAGGCCGGCGCTGAACACCGGTTTCCTGGAGCAAGAAGTGGCTAGGAGTATTTCTACTCCCCTTGGATGGGATGCTAGTCCATCGCAGGGTTACCCGCAGCATTAATTCGCCAGTGCCCATTTAAATACCTGAGTTAAGAGAGGCACTGTGAGAGCAAAGTGTCTTGCCTAAGAACATAACACAATGTCTCCGGCCAGGGCTCGAACCCAGACCTCTGGATCCTGAGTCGAGCGCACTAACCATGAGGCCACCGTGCCACCACACTATAGTTCAGGTTAGGTGCGCTCAAAGGTGAAGTGCATGCGGGTTGTTCAATTTATACCAAAGATGCCATTGGCTGAAATGGTCGCTTAGTGGAACTCATAGAGTCATTGGTGAAGGTGAATGACAAGCAGTAATGAGTGTTATAAGTCGCCTGAGCGCTTTTCAACTGAATTTTGAAGACCAAAACCAAGGTAATCACAGAAGCCATTTAAAGCGAAGACAAATGACTCAATGAGTTTACTAAAGCTGCGAAAGCCTGTTAACTGCCTAAACTTCGGGAATTCTCAGGTGACCAAGTTGGATTGCATTTTTTCAGTTTTTAATCTTTTAAGTAGAGAGGTTGGTACTTGAAAAGCATGGCAAAAGGTTTGAACTTGAGACTGCCGAGAAATATTCCTCGGAAGTGGAGGTGAAGGAGCCTAAACCCTAGATTTCAGTTCTACTTAACTTCTAGCCCGAGTTATTTCCTCCTCCTCATTACAATTAGGACGGTTTTCGTCTTACCCTGAGCTACTCTTCAACCACTGAGGGACCCTTTATTAAGTTTGAATATACTTTGTTTCAGTGTCAGCAGGACCTCGGAGATCTTAGAGAACAGTCGTAGGAAAAGGTGAGCCAAGCTACACTTTTCCATCCTTAAAGATAATGCGAATTTGTGCGCAAATCTGTGTTTGGATTTGACAGAACTCTCTAAGGTCAGCTCACATCAAATTTTTTTCTTGTTAAAAGCAGACAATTGTTTTTAGTTATTGGCTAAGTGAGAGGGCCAGACGGGGAAATATTTGGCTCGAGATCAGCCCTAGGTCATTCGTTGGAGCGAAATATTACCTGTCCGGATCGACCAAACATAGTTAATAAGTATTTTATCACATGACCTCTGTCTTTTTAAATTTAATTTACGTTTACAACTGCAATGGTCCTTTCCATATAAGGTCGCGGAATCTTAAAGGAAACCATTATGAAAGCTGACGTTTTTAGGGCAAGACAAGCTGATGCTAACCGGTCGGACTGGAAAAAGGCGTCCGACCCGGCACTCGCACGGCTCTGCTGCAAAAAACTTAAAATTAAGGAAAACTTGTAAAATGTGGTTTTTTTTTTTCGGTTATGGCGCACGTGCGTTGTTATGAAGTGAAAAAATCTGAAATTTCCTAGAAGACTACACAAATCCTGCATAACTAGGTCAGTTTTTATGCTTTAATGAGGAGCAAAGACATCATCTCTTTGCCTTTTACAAGTTCAGGCTTTCAAATTGGGTATCGTTTTAGGACAGAACTATCATTTTAAGCATGCCTGGTGTTACAGCTACAGTAGTGTTAATGATAATATCTGTTTGTTTTTTCTTGCATAGATGTGTTGTCATGTAGTACAGGCCTCAAATAACTATGTGAGACGGATAATGAAACAAATGGAGAGATACGAGTGAAAAGAATTGGAAACTACTATTGCGCATGCGTCCAGCTTTTCAACAACCTTCCTGCTAGAGAGAGCGATGACAGATTAGGTGTATTTATACCGAAGTCAGTGAAATTAACTTTTTTTATAGAGTCCCGTAAGATATCAAGTGCCATACGCTAAAGAAATTACTCTAGAGAACAAATTTCTTTTTGAGGAACAAGATTAGACAGCGATTCTAGCTAAATGTAGATTCCTTTGGAGACTTTTTATTTGATGGTGGGGCTTGCTAGTCGAGTAAATTGGAATTACATGAAAAGATTTTAATTTGTAAAATTTTCAGTTGCCAGTGTGACGTTTCTGTGTATTGAACAAAATAAATTTGCATGTTATTATTTTTGTATCAAAAACTATACAAAGAAGGTATACTTTATGGTTGTGGAAAATTACTAGAATTTTTCTATTTTGAACAACACCATGATGGAACATATACTTTTGTATTAAACTTTTTTTTTCAAGTTATTCAAAGTTAATTGTATCATAGCTTAGTTATATCATTGAAGTTATTGCGCAGTAGGAGCGGTAAATGTAATTAAAACGTTATTATGTGCCAAGGTCCCTGCCTTTTTATTATATAGCTGAGCTAGTTGAACGCGATCATCTCTTAAGATCAAAGTAGTTAAAGCTGGTTTCACGGGGTTTCTTGGTCAGCCGAAAGCACCCGCCTCTAGGCTGTAGGATAAGAGAACAGAGCATCTTCGTCCGACTTATGTTTTTAAAAAACTTACGGTTAACTGGGGAGTCTGTTGTACTAAACTTGAGAAAATCTTACCCTAAACCCACGGTACTGCACCCGAAGAAAAGTCTTTAGGCCAACGCATTCCGGTTTCTAGGCCCTTTCTTTCACCTCATTGGCCGCGGGGTGGGTGGGAACTTTATTATGTGCGGCACGTCTTTTGAGGATGTTATTGTTTTAAAATTGATGCACTTAAACTATGTACCTTTTTGTTTTGACATCCATAAGGAATACCTTATCAAGGAAAGAAAAAAAAAATTGCGTTAAACATGAGAAAATTGTGTGAGACAGTTCACTGACTGCACTGAAGACCAATCACAGCCCACCTGCCAACAAAATAATATACTAAGCACCTTTAGGTAGAATTCTCCTACAGAAAAGAAAATAACTTTCAATTCTTTCTACTCAGCAGAAGTAGTTCAAGTGGCATGATCGTCATTTCATTATCACCATCGTCATGATCGTTTTCGTCGTCGTCATCGTCATCGTCGTCATCACCGTTATTATTTATGTTTTAGTTGTCATACGAAAGTAACTACGGCCACCCTGGCCTCTGAACGTTTCTACGGAAATCAGCTTTGTGCTAGGACTTGATATATTTCTGCATATTAAATGATTAAGCTACGCTATGCTATCTAAGTGTGACCAATAACTGTACGGTGATTTGATCATAAGGGGTATTTTCCATATTGTACAACATGTATTATTTTCACAGTGATCAATAAAATATTGTCCCCGACATTCCTTATCATAATTTTTCCTTTGGCTTCTGAATGGTTCGAAGGTGCACAAAGGCACAAAATTCTGAAAGGACCCTCAAGTTATTCAGCAGCTAAGGTTGAAAACATGATACCTGAACATGTCTGAAAAGATACCCAAACATGACTGTCCGTGAGCATGTTGGTCAAGCGGCCAGCAGTTTGAGGCAAAAGAGAGAGGAATCCGTGACGTGTCTTTGGTATATCCTGGGCATTTACATCACTTCATTGTTCTAGTAAAGATATAAATGTCGGCGAACGAACGACTTTGATACCAAGAATTATAACCCACCCACTAATTTTGGCGCGATTTTACTGGTTACTTTACGTCACGTCGTGCAAAATCACAGGAAAGTTATCACGCAATAACCCCCGTCCGTGTCGATATTTGTCCTCCGATTTTTCCGTGAAAAAGAAACATAGTCAACACAAGGGTTTCAACTTTTCCGTTCTTCTCTTTACATGGAAGGAAACCAAAGTGGTTTTTTTTATTTTTGCCTGCTTGCGTCAATCAAGCGCATTCGCCATCAGATCACCACTGGCTTTTTTACAGTGTTTGCGCGCAGTTTAATTGCGATGTGAAAATTAATGGAAGGGTGATAAAATCAATAAACCCCGTTCCGGCTTGCTGGTATGTCGGTCCTTGGCTGAGTGACTGTCCTCAAAATTTTATGTTTGCCCTCGAAGCTTCGCTTCTCGGCCAAATAATCATTTTTCGGTTAGTCTCTCGGCCGCGGACATTATCAGCCCACATACCAGCCGCCCGATGGGGTTTATTTACTAAATCTTCATGATCCACTCAGAAGTCCAGTCCATTCTAATGTTTCGATATTTCACTCGCTGAGGCCTTTGGGATAGGGAAAAACCGAGAGGTGGTTTTACTTTGAACCATTACAGGTTGTCGTTCGCATTGTTCGTCGTCTGTGGAAAGTGACTCTTTGTCGAGTTTTCGCTTTGAAATGCAGATGACTCCATAGCCAGGTTCGTTTAAACCAACTATTTGTCATTTATCGTCAAGTTGGAAGTGCGATAAGGGTGTTTGAGGGCCAAATAGTCTTCATCACTTCCGCTTTACATATTCATCGATTTTCAATTTCGCCTTCTCATGTTTAAACCTTCATCAATTTCAAATGTTGCTTCTAATCTCACAGGTGTCAAGCCGTGGATTTTCAGAAAAGGTTGTTATTTCATAGAATTGCTGTATATTAATGGTGAGTTACGATATAAGTACAGTGATGTGGTTTCGAGTAATTGTACCTCTAGAAGACTTAATGATTTCTTCCCAAGGGTTTTGATTTAACACAGTAGGTATTTCGGCAAGAATTCCTTATAATATAACCCCCTACATTAATTATGCATAGAGTGTTGGAAAGAAACCTTTAATTTAATCTTTATGAAATGGAATAATGACAGTAAAACTCTCATGCAAAAACGTACACTAACGACTTTCCGTTAAACGGGTGAAACGCACGGCCACCGAACGGGTAACAAACGGGGGAACTCACCCGTTCGAACGGATGCTATCGAACGGCTTAACGGGTTATCAAATATTCCGAACGGCTTGTGTAAATTTTCGAACGGGTTACATAAACTACTGAACGGCTTGTCAAAATTTTCGAACGGGTCACGCAAACGACCGAACGGCTTGTGAAAATTATAGAGCGGGTTACCCTAACGACCGAACGCCATGTCAAAATTATCGAACGGGTCACTCGAACGACACAACGGCTTGCGAAAATTTTGGTACGGGTTGACATAAACAGATGAACGGGTTTCCGATTAATTTCGAACGGCTCGTGAAAAACAATTGCCATAAAGGCCGAACTGTTGGGTTATCAATCCTAACGAATGGGCAGATACGGTCCAATTCAGATTTTGTTGCTTCGAACGGAAAGTCAACTGCTTTGATGCTATAAAATTGCCTGACTAATTATTCAAGCTTGTTAAACAGAGACTAAGTTCAGCGTCTTTAAAAAAACTCGAATAACCCATGAAGGTCAAATTCTCGTCATAATTATATCTTTGCCGTGTCGAGTGTTTATTGCCGCTTTATTGCGCACAAACGTGACTGTAACTTTTTTGTAGCAGCTTTGCATGTTGCCAAATAATTTATTTGGCAACTTCATGTTCGTGTAAAACATCAGCCCGTTCGAACGGCTTGATCATCCGTTTGTCGAAAACAAAAGACATTCGAACGGCTTGGTCATCCTTTCGTTGAAAAACATCAGTCCGTTCGAACGACTTGGATTATTTTCCGTCGAACGACTTGTAACATCGGTCTGGAAGGTTCATACCAGTAACGCCACCCGTTTACTGAAAATAAATTCTTGCGTTCGAGCGGCGTCAGTCATCTGTCACGTGCTAACGTTTACAAGATTTGTCCAACTTCATTCGCTCCT